TATATATATAACCAAACGAACCTTATGGTTGTACGGCAGTGAAGCATCAGTGCCAACACTGATGTTGCTGTCTTTGATGATGATGATGCTTTATTAGCGAGCACTTATCTTTCACGTTCGATCCTTGTGCGCACAACAGGCTTCTTTTGGCAGATGGTACATCTAATGTTTAAGTCGACATTCATATTACGATCTTCGTCTAGCAATATATAACACATCAGATCGAGATGCACTAGCATGAGCGCAGTGGATCCCCCAGAAAATATACAACCAAATCCGACTGCTTAAGATGGTGCTGATGAAGGAGATATGAAAAACGAAAAAAGGCTATCTTCCAAGACATCACAAAATTCTTCGGAAGGAACCAATTGCATGGAGCGTCGTTCGGGTAAGGGTCATGTATACTGTGAGGACTATTTGGGTCGGTTCCTAGGCTCTAAAGCTGGGCCGCAGACACGTTGTCACATGACCTACCTGCTGCTGAATAAGTCATGTTGATGCACTATTGATACTCGAAAGCAAAAGATTGATTAAAACGGAGGCTATACTATTCTTCAATCAACTGGACGATATTTGGAACCGATTGAGCGGACACAGGTTCTGCCTCAATGATAGATAGACAATGATAAGTGGAAATGTGTTCGTAATCAGGAAGCAATGACATGCGATGATAGTGCACAATATGCGAAATTCTTGTAGAAACTCCGAAGGTGTATACCACGTAAAAAAAGGTCTAAATACTGGAGAAATTTAGGAACCCGTAGAGAAGTCATGGTTTCAGAAGGGCTTCGTAAACAATAACCAACCAGTCAGCTGTAACACCCTCTCCGGTGCCTAGCTGCCATGCCACGCGAAGGAAGCACGGGGGCTTGGATACTGCCAGGTTGCCCAAGCCTAGACAGGGGAAGTTGAGAGGCGGAGGTCGGGCTCGGACCACAGACCTTCCGGTCAGTAAATTTGCACTCTAACCACTTTAGCCATCTCGCCTCCTTGGTAAACAATATATATATATATATATATATAT